CGTGAAATTAAAAAAAACAGGAAGCGTCAGTACCTAGACGCATCACAACATTGACAGAAGGAAATGCATTTTGACCTTTCAGTTCCTTCGAATCAATAACGCACTCTTTTTTTATTTTCTTTTATTAATCACACATACTTTAGGATAATACAAATATTTAAAAAACAATTTTTTCATAAATTATTTTATTATTAGTAATGAATTAAATGTCGACATATTTGAAGACATTGTCTATGCTATGATGAAATTTTTCAAATCAAAATGAATCGCATTCGGTTTTAGTAACGAATCTCTTTTTACTTAATTAAAAGGAATATTATATATGTTATTGAAGATTAACAATTATGAAATGTGAACTTAGAATAAATAATTAAAACGTTGAAAAGAAAAAGAAAGATTAACGGCCTTTCCTGACATGTTATTAAATAATTAATCTGTTTTCAAATAACACTTGAAGGAAAAATTAATTATTTGTTTCTTATTGATGAAATGAGGTGTATTTTTAGTTATTTTTCTTCGCATCATTTATTGAATTTTATAAACTAGTTCTGGAAAAATCCTTGATAAAGTCTCTACATTAGCCTTTTTTCTTCTTTCTATAGCTGGAAATATTTCTACTAGAGTACTTTTTTTTTTACTGACAATGGAACTTGTATTGGCATTGAAGAATTTGAAATCGAAACGCTTTAAATTCTGACTGATGAAAATTGACAAAAATATATGAGTAGTTAAAAACTATAAAATATAATTAAAAAACAAAGAGTAATTGAACAGAATTTTTCGATTATTGTCATGCGATCAGCAACCTGCACGACGCACATAGAATGATACATATATGTGAGATTTTAATCATTCATTTGATGAAGTTTTGTCGCTGAGGGAAACATGACACTTTATTGTTCAACATCTCGTTCACGTTTCGTAATTAACCAAGTTTGATAGTTTAATGCTTTTTTTTTAACAAGATTTTTTCCAATAAACAAAATACAAGTCAGTGAGATTTATTGTTACTTAATGTCGATCTCGAATAATGTTTAAGGGGAATTCCAAGTCAAAAAAAAAATTAGATTTATTATCACCAATGTTTAGTAGTAAATGAGAACATACCAGTAAAATTGTATCGTGCTTGAATAACAATTGTTGATGATTATCAATTTATCGAATACTCATTCAGACAGTTTTGTACAAAAATTGACGATAGTTTTTCATATGTTACAGTTGATGAAGTAAGTAGCAATTGTCATAATATTTAGAACAATTTTCTATCAGATGTGAAGTATCGTCAAAAGAAAGCTATTCTATATAGTCAAAAATATTTCATCAAAGGACGAAATTTTTCATCAATTGTCGTTTAATAATCCACGAAGTTATACTATTGAGATGATTGATAGTTTTTCTCGAACCAGTTGAGTTGATAACAGAGACCAAAACCAAATAATATTCTGTCTAACGTACTCGATGCATAATGACTTCTTTCTTTATTATATAGCGACACAGTCGTATAAAGATTTCATTGATTGATTTGCATATAAGATGATCGTTTACAAATATGGCTCTCTCTTGAAAAAATTTCGGTTTTTCTGCAGTATGAAATAGTGAAGATCTAGAAAAAACATCGAACTTACACTTAGTTTTGTATCATGAAAAAAAAATACATTGGCCCGTACAAATACATAAATTCTAGTACAATTGATACACAGCTATCATTGTTACGAGGAAACATCATGAAAAAATGGATAGTATGTAAAATTGCATAACATCTCTTTTTGAATTTAATCTATATCGAATCGGATTGATATTTATCTATTCGTTTCAGTCTCTGGTTGACAATCCGTATTACATGAAAATAGATCATGTTATTGAGCAAATAATCAATAAAATATATTATCGATCGAATTCTATTTAGTAAAGATAATCAATTGATACAGTATTAGAAGTTTGATTCTTTTCAGATTCTTCTGTAAGTTATGCACTATGAGTTTTCTTTTTCTATTTCCTAATATAGTAATTTGTTTAGTTGTTGCAAATACAAGTAAAAAGATATACAAACATAAATTCAAATGAGAGAAAGAGATTTCGCGCACAATAAAATAAACCGATAACTAAGCTATGGCTAGACTACACCTGTTAACTTTTATCTTAGTATTGAAATAGTTCCAGAGCAGAGATCCTTAAACTCGTCCCGCGCAGTCCCGTGCCATTGCTCACGCCCAAGCTCGTCGTACGTTTTTGTCTCTTTGTGCTCTATTCTATGTTCTTGCAGAGCTCGCTGCAAATCAGGATGATGTAAGCACGCAGTCCATAAAGCTCTACGAGATGTAGCATAGGTGTGAGCATGAGCGCAGGACGAGTTTAAGAACCTCTGGTTTCAGAGTATTGATTTTCTTTTGAGAATTTTGACTATCGCTAGAGATCTACGGAGTCACGCTTTTTCTAACCCTGAAATGTTTTTCCAGAAAATTAGCAATATCTTACATGGGTAATATTATGTATTTGAAGGGAATATCCCCTCTTCTTTTTCGTAATTTCTGATTCTTGAAGAAGGTACAATCGATCTGCATTAAATTTTTATCACAGAAAGAGTACCCAAAATAAGGGAACATATGTTCAATGAAAAAAATTTCAAACACAGTTTGTTGCGGTTCTTTTCTGGAAACCTTGCTCTCTTCATGAGGCTACATCGCGTCCGCTTACGATCTCCGTCTAAATTTGTCCAATCGGGCTGAAAATTACTTTGGCAATACATCAAACCATATATTAGTGGAGATTTTAAAATCTTTTTAAAAAATCCCGCTTTCTTTTTCTTTTTGAGAGAGATACGTAAAGGTTTTGCTTCAAAAACTGAAGTGCTAGCGTTCAGGGCTCTATAAACTCGGATAGGAAAGTCAAAAACAAGAACGGTCGATTTTACCTTTGAAGAATATTTTCAAATATCTGTAATCAAAATCTTAAATTGATCGAACAAAGTAAGAGAAGGATCGTAAGCAGATCTGATGTTTTTCTTAAAACACGAATCTTTTTATTTTAGGTGCTCTATCTGCACTGAAAGTTAATGGTCAACAAAGTGGAGTGAGATATCCTTAAGATGACGTGACGATGGCAATAATACATCTAATGATGAGAAAGGAGATATCGAATGATACTGATCTTTTTTTTTCACTATAATTGCTTGTAAATGTTAATCTAAATGGTGTAAATGTTTTCTTTTGTTTTTTTTCTCTTTTTATGTTATTTGGCTATTGACTTGACGGTTTTCATTTAATTGACATAACAATTATCAAAAATAAATGGCACATAAGAAAAAACAATGAAATAGCGTTTTTGGAGTGTCTATAATTTACATCAACAAGCAAAAATGATGTCCTAATTTCTTTATTCTTGATTATCTTTTGTATTGTTAGTCATATGAATAAATGAAGTCTTCACTTGATTTACAACTAAATAATTCAAATAACTACTTTTCTCTATTTTGTTCAAACCGAAATATTATCAATCGTGGAGAACAGTTGGTTAAAGCCGTTTGGTTTTTATATTGAGAAAACTTATAGTGTATTTCACTTTGTTCGGCTTCTTTAATTATTGTAAATCGTAAGATATACAGACACTGACGACATAAGCTGATCATCATTTCTTTCGTAAAATGAAAAAAAACATTTTTTCTGATAAGATATGTGAGATTCCATCAACTAATTACAAAATCGCTATTGACTAAATTGATTATTAAAAAAATATAATTTAATCATAAATTGGTTAGCCTTTGCTCATTACATCATCAATAATAGACTATTTTTGAATTCACAAGTACATGTGCGCATTTGAGTATAGGCCATCGACATACTTACCAGTGACATACATACTTTGGTTTTCTTTTCATTATTATTGAAAAAAGCATTTAATGGAAGTAATTTTAAATTTTTTGTCTGTTTTCTCCATCATGAGAATTAAAGATGAAAGAAAAAACAAAGCAGAACATATTACATGGTTTCATAAGTAATTGTGAATCGTTTCTATTTGTAAATTAGAATATTGATAAAAGAATAGGTTTATAAACGAGTATTCAATAGAAAAATTCATCTTTTTTGATATATCTCAATTGCATACAAATTTATGTGCGTATAATATATTGTTTTTCTGATTTTATGAAATCGTTTATTTGCTCAGAAATTATAAAAAACACAATTCAATCGTACACAATATTCTCTTCTTAATTTGATGTTTTGAAAAGCTGTTTTTCTTCAAGAATTCCAAACCGGTTCATACATTAGCGATGGAGATGGAAAATTTTGAAAAGTTTTTTTTTTAAAGATTATCTCAGTTTCAAGAACTTTCCAAACGCAAAACTAACGGTAGAAAACACATTCATAACCAAAAAACTTCTAGAAAAATAATCTTTGAAAACAAAAATTTTAATCTCTACTATCTACTTTTTGCTCGAACACTGACAACTGAAATTTTCAATAAATATTTATGATAACAGCAAGCCAACCGATTGCTTTTCAGTTGTAAGTTTTTCATACCGACTGAAATTTTTTTTTTGATTACATATCATAACTCAAACTATAGTTCATGCCATACCACTCACTGAATACCCCTCCCACACACCCCCCCTCCCAGAATAGAGGGCCACCTAAAAAAAAAGAATTTGCACAGCGTAATAGAAGGCCATGGGGTTTCCAGAAGCTTTTTTTAGAAATCCAATAGATTTTTAGATTTTAGTGCTTAAAATCCTGGTTTTACGGTACTTGACTGCTAAAAGTGCCTTTTTGAACGCCAGAAAATTGTTCCAAAAACCCTTGATTTTCTAGGTAAATCATAACAAAAAATAGCTCACAATAGAAGGCCACCTTTGCAGAAGCGATGTGAATTTCCATAATAGAAGGTCATGGCCTTTTATTCTGTGGGAGTTTAATCATTTTGTTTTGTTTTTTGCAATCATTAGAACAACATATGAAAATGAATAAACAGCTGTTCTCATAATAAATCTATCAACAATGCTAAAACTATTTATGACGATACTTTAAAAGTCTTTCACGCCAATGTCGAGCGAATAAGATAGAAGGTATTAAATTATCATATGAAGAAAAGTTGTATGACAATAACAAATTTTCTGTCAAATTTGACCATTGTGTTACGATAACTGCTGGTATATTATTGAATAATGGATCAAGTTCAGATGAAAAAACAACTGGTGCTGCACCCATTATGAGTGCTTCCCATGTTCGATGACAGTCAAGTCCATCACCTGGTGGTGATAAAACAAATTTTGCATTACCAATTTGTTCTACATAAGTTTTAAATAAAATTCTTTTTCGTATAATTAGAACATTTTGAATTTTTTTTGCTTGTGAAAGTGCTTCTTGACGTTGTTTCTTATTGGTATCAATATTAAAATTAACATATAATAAAGTTGTACGTTTTGACCAAGGTTTTCGATACTTTTCAAGTCCATATTTCAATGTATCAAGATTACCCGTTTTCCAACGCCCATTAGCTAATCCGATAGGAATAGGAAATAATTTCGGATGATTTCGTACATTCGGATTTGAAGCATACCAAGCAAGTATATTTTTGTCTTCTAATTTATTTACATATTCACGTGGTACAGAAGCATCACTGTTATGAGAAACAAGAATAAATGGATTCTTTATTAATGGATATGATCGAAGAAAAAATAGTTTTAAGCTATCCCCTTTAATAAACACAATATCACCATGTTTGACAGATTTTAAATTATCTCGTCTTGTTTCATCAACTATATAATCAGCGAATGCACGAAATGTATCACCACTAATAAATGGATATGATGAATTTCGCTTTGATGTTGCATGACGATAGTATAAAGATATTATGCTTTTATTACACTCATTAATTGATGAATCATTAAAGGATTTCATCGTAGCAATTATATTAAAATCGTTTGTCCGTAGATTTGTTTTTTTTAAAACATTATTTTGATATAAATTAAAAGTAATACATAAAAAACATAAAATAATAACCACATTAAATAAGATAGTACATTTAGATGATGATAATGTATTACTGAGTAATATGTAAACCATTATATTGCTATTTAAGAATAAAATTTATTTTTTCGTGTTCTGTCTAAAAATCAAGTCATTATTATTTTTTTGTGAGAGAAAGATACATATATTTAAGTCAAGTATACTAGGCATCAATCAGTTTTCACTTGTCATTTCTAATTAGGTTTCCCATAGTTCAAACCATATTCTCGAAAATCCTAAAATACTAGTATTTTACTATAGGAAGCATGATTCTAGTATAGTAATTCCAGCATCGATTCATCCAAGAGTCTGTTCCAGAGCTTCTAGTCGATGTTTCAAGTATAACTCGACGAGCTTTATTCCATGGTACAATCAAATTTCTCATTTTTCAAACTATGTTTGAAAAACCTCGATACACAGGCACCTTCACTTTTAAATAAACTTCATATTCAAGTATTCCTGTGTTGGATTCGTCCGAAGTCTTGTTTCAAAACTTGCATACTTTTTCTAAATAACAATTCGATGAGTTCTGTTTTATGGAAAAATTATATTTTCTACAGCTCACATAGTACGGCAGAGAAAACGAGACTTAGGAGAGAGATAGCAGGAATTGAAGAAACAGCTAACAGAAGAAACAGAAATTAAGATAAAGATAACGAGACGTGCAGGAATATCGGGTAGAAGAAATAGGAATTAGGCGGAAGATAGTCGGGAGCCGATGAAGTACGCAAAAAAAAACACAATATACGGCGAGAACGGGTCACAGAAAAAGGTACAACGATCTGCACAGCAAAAACTTCATCTCGCCTTCGACTCTCTGCATTTATCATCTAATATGTCTCTTGAATACTTCTCACTTTAATTCATTTCAGCTACATGAACATTGAAGTGAATGGGCTCACTGTACCTTGCCATACTTGTTTTACATACATCATAAAATGGGCATCATTTTGTTACAACTAACGAAAATATTAAGCGACTCCTATATTTCACGATACAAAAAAAAATGTTGGCTGAAAGCAAAGCTGTTTTAATCCTAAGCCAATCCATCAGCGCATTTACCGTGAACGAATCTTTCCAAATTTTTCACATGCGTCTCATGATAAGTTGGCAGAAAAGTGTCAAACGCCAAGTATTTGAGTAAACACCTGTCTTTTGCCTCATAATGCTTATCGAAAAAATCGTTATTCGACAGAAAATCAAATTCTGCATTCATCATTCTCAACCATAGGGACAGTACAGACTCAGAAATGAATACTAGGAAGAAGACGTTCTATGGACCAGTGATCAAGTATAAGTGTTCTCATAGTAACGGGTGGGCCATAAATAATGATGGTCTGATTGTTTCATCGGTATCGGTCTTGAATTCCATCTCAAAGACTTCAAGTTTCTTTCAAAAGATTTAGCATTCAATTCTCTACAATAAAATATCAAAGATCCTTCGATAAGACCTTACGACTAAAAATTAGAGAAATAATACTGAAATGCTCCAAGAGGTTCAACTTTCAAAAGTTTCTTTTCTTCAATCTCCGAAACGGTTCAGCCTATTTTCTAGCNAGGTATTTATCACCATTTCGGGCCTTCTCCCTTCATCAGTAAATTAATCATAACTCTTCCTAAACGTTTTAGAGAATAGACTTATTATATACCATTCGATGCGCCTTGAAATTTTCTACAATTTGGTATATTTGCTTTCTCAATGCTGGATAGATCATCTTATCCGATTAGATCTTTTTTGCAAGTGACCGCGAACTTTCTGCTCAACATAATAGAAGGAATTTGAAAAAATAAGAAAGTTTGATGCAAAGAAAAGTTTAACAACAATGTATTTTTTCTATCATGCTAAGAAATCAGCTCAAACCTAAATGGTGATTTTAACAGCCAAGAGAATTTTATTTTACCAAGATTTGTAAAAACACCCGGATACAGTAAGGGATAAGTGCAGCATGTGACAAACAAATTTCGCTGCAAGGAGCTGTGACATTCATATTCTTATATATATATCTGAAAGTAGACTCGAAATTAAGATGAAGAGATGCCTCATTTTCTTCGACTTTGACTCAAAATGTTAAAAGTATTACACAAGATAAAATGTGTCAAAAAATCGACTGAAAACCCTGTTTTTTTTTTGGGACACTTTTAACTTTTTAAGTCAAGGTCATAGAAAATGCGGCGATGCCTTATTTTGTGCTCTTTAAAACGTTATTGTTAAAAAATAGTCTTTTCGGAACTGAAAACTACCATGTCTGGTTTTTTTTAGAAATCTTGGTAAAAGAGAACTTCATTGGCTATTCAAATCACTATCTGCTTTTGAGCTAATTGCTTAACACTAAGAAAAATAGATTGTTCTTAATCTTTTTTCTATCACCTTATGTTTCTAAAACAGAAAACAAAAAAATAGATAATTAGAATATGTAATATACTTTCTTTTCAACTATCTAGCGACAATGTGTTTTACTTATTATTAAGTTCCATAGTTCATATTTCTAATTAAATGTACTTCCAATATGTTTGTTTTTGAGTTAAAAACTCGATGACATGTCAAATATTTGTAGTAAATACTAATCGAAATATCGAGATTAATATTTAATATCTGAAAGAATAAAATAATCATAATCACTATATGCATATAAACTTTCTGCAAAAAAAAAGACATTAATTAAAATCACAAAAGTATAAATAAAAACATGATTGTATCAATAGATAGAAGACAAAAGAATATAGAAGTCACTATTTTCACTTTAATTGTTCGTTTTTATAGTTAAATATTGATTTTGATATTGATATTTTTTATTTAATTCATCAAATAATTGATAATCAACGTTATCAATAACTGATTTATTATTATGTTTCATCCATTCTTCAATTTCATCACAAGTACGTGGGACTTTTGTTAATAATTCACAGCCATCTTTCGTTATAACAATATTATCTTCAATTCTCACACCACCAATATGTAAATATTTATCAATTATATTTTTATTTAAAAATTTATTTAATTCATCATTATTATATGCATCATTTAATAAAGCTTGATTAAAATAAATACCTGGTTCAATTGTTATACACATGCGTTCTTTTAATAAACGATTTGTTCGTAAAGATTTTAAACCCGGTAATATTGAACGTGTTTGAGGATCAAGATAACCTCCAACATCATGTGTATCAATACCAATTAGATGTCCAAGGCCATGTGGCATAAATAAAGCACCTAAACGTGCATTCACCATTTCATCAATATCACCTTGCACTAGACCAGCTTCCTTTAAATGTTCAAGTTGAATACGTTCAGCTAATAGATGCATATCAACCCATGATACATTTGGTCCAACACTTTTCATTACTTGACGATTAGCAGCAAGTACAGCTTCATATATTGTTCGTTGTTCATTTGTAAAATGGCCAGATACAGGAAATGAACAAGTTATATCCGATGCATAACAACAATATTCACCACCCATATCAAATAAACACATATCTTTAGATGCTAATTGACGATCATTTGGCGCACCAGCATGACCATAATGTAGTGTAGCTGGATTTTCGCCAGTTGCACATATGCATGTATAAGACATATGGCGCATTGCACCATAACGATGACAATAATATTGAAATAATGCTTCAATTTCATATTCATGCATACCTATAACGATAAAAATAAAAACATTCTTATACAATCTATTTTATATTTCGAAAAAAACTTAATATCGCTATTTTCTAGGACTTTTTTTAAACATGGTTATTGTTGAAAAGTGCCAAATCGTTCTGGAGTCGAGATTGTCTACGTTATATAGGTTCTAATCAACTATGAATACTGTGATAAAGTTTTGCTCTATTAACTTATCACTACTAGTATATTGCATTTGTACAGTATTTTTCAGGCATAATGAATGCCGTGGTCACACTTTCAGGAAAAGTAAATTTCGGTTTTCGACTTGAAACTTTGTACAGAGACAGACGTTGATGAGAATAGTTTATTATGAAAGTTTTAGATCATTTCGTTTATCCTATTCTAAAATTTGGTCATGGTAAAAGCATGTTTACTACATCGCTGATATACAGTGAGGGACAAAAGTTAAAAGAAGTTATATTTTTGAGTTTCCTTGGTGGTAATAGTTCGAAAGAATACGAAAAAATATTTTAATAGCTATGAAGGTTTTCTATCAGAATTTGTGAACCTAAAAACTTCAATAAAATTAATTCGATGAGAATGGCTGGAAAACCAAGATTTCCAAAACCAGTTTTTTGACATCTGTTGAAAGCTTTTTTTGGAAATGGTTTTATTTGATAGAGCAAAAAGAGATGTCGCGCCTCTCGTGATAGAACTATATTCAATTTACAGAAGATGCTAGAAGTATTTTTCCTCTGTTTTCCCCATGTTTGACGATTTGAGATCTTCTATAAACTGAATGAAGTTCGATCAAGAGAGGCGAGACATCTTGCTTTCCTTTATCGAAAAAACATATTTCAAAAAAGCTTCAAATAGATACCAGAAAACTAGTTTTGGAAAGTCGTAGTTTTACAAACATCTTCATCCAAGGTGTTTTATTGAAGTTTCTAAGTCCACGAATCCTCATAGAGAATCCTTTCCGCTACTCGAATATTTTTTCATCTGCTTCATAGCTATTAACATCGAGAAGAAAACTCAAAAATACAACTACTCGAAACTTTTGCTCGTTACTATATACTGGCAGATTCTGACGGTCTTATTTCAGAATAGGAACAATGAAAAAATCTAAAACGTTCACAAAAGAAAATACTCATATTCAAGCCAGTCTTTATGCAAAATTTCAAGTCAAAATTCGAACCATAGGTTTCCTGAAGGCGGTCATGGTATTTAACCTAAAAAATACTGTAAACATGCCAATCTTGGGGGTAAGTGATAAGCTTGT